TTCTAGTAGTCGTTACACGGCTCTAAATCTCAACTAACTCAAAGATGTTGTTTTGTTGAAGCCTTAGTTGATTTCTTTCAAGTCAAAATTTCCTGTTAGGATTCTTTCAGATAGTTTTCCATTCTACTTTGGGCTTATAATGATACAATTATCACCACATTAGTCTTTTCACACACATTGGATTTTGTAGCTGAGAACATCATAATGGTGGTTTCCGAAAGCAAAAGTAAAAATCTTTTGACTGATATTAGTACATTGATAAATATTTCATATGCAAGTGTTTATGATGATGCATGATCATGAACAAAAGAAAAGCATAACAGATTAGGGTTAGTTAATCATATTAAAATAAATATTTTCTTATGTGTCTTAATTTAAGGTACAATTTACAAAAATGGTATGGCTCAATCTAAGGTTGTCTTTTAAGGTTCATTATATGCAGGGTTTAGTAATTAACATAGGCTAAAAAAGTTTCCAAATTGATCCTCACTGTTATCAATTTTGGACTAGTAAGGCCCCCAATCCTCACCCATAATAAGATGCTGACGAAAAATGTTTAACTTGAGTGAAAGTATTTTGCTAGCCCAAGCAAAGCATTATAACCTCACGAAAGTGTAGGTATTTTACTCCCTTCCAAAAAAGGATAAATTTGAGAGTCCGAGTGTAGAGTTTATGCATGAATGCAAATGTACACGTGTATGAGGGAATGTAACAATTATTAATCAAAATAAAATCAACAATATAATTAGCAACAATATAAGAAAATAAAATGACATAATAAAACTAAATGAATCCATTAAATTTTAACCTTTTTTTTTCTTTTTTTAAAGATAAGATAAGAAATTAAAATTAAATATAAAAAAGACAGTAAAATCAAAGTTTGGATGACACATGTTTTTGGCTTGACTTTCTAGCATCCTTAATGGAGATGCCAAGTTTCATATCGATTTTTCATTTGAGAGGACTCGATCACTAGACTTAGTAAAAATTTACGGAATCACCACCAATCTTTTTATAGGGTATGATTGGTCACTCAAAAATATCATAGTTTAATAAAAATCTTAAAATTAATTAAGATTTACTAAAAGAAGTTTAGGTCTATGAAATCAAAGTAAAGTTTAGGAGTAATGTTACAAGTGAGGAACGTATTAACACCCTCACATCGCTCGTTCAAAAAATGGTACTAATTAAACAAGTGTAATCCTTTAATCTTAATGGCATGGTCTTTTTTTATATTGAAATTTAATTTCCTAAAATTTATTTATGAAAAATATTTTTTGTTACGAAATTAGTATTATTATTATTTTGTATTCTATAAATTCTCCAACGCTTTGGCATAATTTATAAAAAATCTTCATTTAGAAAATATTTTGAAAAAATTGATCATTCACAAAATTCTTAAAATCTTGTCATAAGATATTTTATTTATTTATTAAAATGATTTTAGGATTATCCTAAATTCTTGAAATCTTATCATAACATTCTGACTCTTTGACGAAATCTTAAAATTTATTAAACAAATTTTAGGATTATCCTAACTCTTCAGTAAAAATCCTAAAATTTTAAATAGATTTAAGGATTATCTCAACTTTTAACGAGATTCTAAATAAAACTATTTTTTTGTTATTGATGATAATTAAAGGATTTAATTAATTAATTAATTAATTGTTATTGTGATTATTTTAATTTTTTTGTTATTATTTTAATCTTTTTTATTATTTAAATGAATAATTTATTTAGTAAAAAAAAATAAATTCTTTTGTTTTTTTTTTTTTTTGTTTTGGATTATCCCAACTCTTTAATGAAATTAAAAAAAATACTTTTTGTAGAAATTAAAAGATTTATTTAAAGAACACTTTGAGTTTTTTTTATTATTTATTGTTTTTATATTGTTTAAACAAATATTTATTCTAGTAAAAATTATTTTAGATTATCCCAACTCTATGAAAAAATCTGAAAATTTATTTGTTACTTGTAATAATTAAAAAAAAAATCAAACTCTTTCAATTTTGTCTCAACATTACATTAAAAAATTAACTTAAATAATTCATTAGTTTTTATTTTTTGTTTTATTATTTTTCAACAAAAATTATTTTTTAAAATTATCCCAACACCTTGGATAAAACTCTTTTTACTTTTCCTTAATATTATTATTTTTGCAAAAATTTTACTTTACCTAATCTACACTTTATTTTTTATTTTATTTTAGTTTTACTCATTTCTAAAAAATGAATAGCATAATAATAATAATAATAATAATAATATCATCATCATCATAAAAAAAAACCAACAAATAAAAATAAAAATCAACATAAAATAAATAAAATCAAAATCAAAACAGAAAATAAAAAAAATTTTGTTAAAGAGGTCAAGTCAACACACAAGTTATGCACAGATTTTAAGGTAAGTCAAATGGGTCAGACGCCCAAAATGAAGCCATTTCACTCATCCCATAAAAGGCTCTTTTTTGTTTTTTTTTTTAATTTTTTTCTTTTCCTCTCTCTTTCTAAAACTATATCCTCTATCTCTAAAAATTTTTTCCCCTCGCAAGCCACCACTATTCCCAATTTTCGGTTGGTCGTCATAATGTCATAATCGAAAACTTTAACTAATGCCTAGAATTTAAACCTTTTTCCAGATTTTAATGGCTGAAAAATTCATTTGGTCATAAAAAAATTCAAACTTTTTCAATTTTTGGTGACCCAAAAAAATAAAAATTTTTCAAAAAATTCTTAAAACAATCTTTTTGATCTCCTAAACATCTTTTTTAAAATAGTTTTATCAAAAATACTTTTAAATGCCCAAATCAAAAAAATTTATTCTAAAAATTTTTTGTTTCCAAAAAAAAAATTTTTTAACTTGGCTGTTGGTTCCACCTCTAGGAGGACTGTATTGTTTTTTCTTTTTTATGCCTATGTATATTTTCTTTTGCTATAACCTCACCCAAAAAATTTACTCTTTGTTTTTTTTTTTTTTTTTTTGCAGTGTCCTTCCTTAGGTTCACTCTGTTCCTCCTAATCTCACTCTAGATCCCCTTTCTCTTACAGTGTTCTGGCTTAATTTTATAGAGCATTTTTTAGTCTTCAAATCCCAAATAATTTGGGATTTAGGAAGATTTTTGTAGCTCCTTAATTCATGTTGCAAAATTAAGTTGTCGTGAAGAGAAAAAAATCACTCTGACAACTTAATTTCAGTTGTTAGAGTTGAAATCAATTTTTTTACTTTTTACTTTTTTATTAATTTATTTTATTATATATATTCTTTGATGGAAAAATAGGTATCTACAACTTTTATATAAAAAAATTATATGTAAAAAATTTTTAAAAAAATCTACTTGTCATAATAATATATCATGTATCAATTTTTTGTATGTATAACATTCGCGCTTAAAATACTCATCTTTATATAATAATGTGAATAATTTAAATTCAATTTATTTTTTTATTGAGTTTAATCAGATCTATTATATAGTTTATTTACGACTTTACTAATGTTAGATAATTAGATTTTAAATTTTAACATTTTAAAATTATAAAATTATAACTATTTTGGTTCAATCGAGCACTTATAAAAATTTAAATATGCTTTCAACAAACATGTTATTTTTAATTATAATGATAAATAACAAATGTTAACTTACATCAATATACAAGCTTATTATCGAAGAAAAAAAAAGCTTATGCTTACATGAAAACATAAAATAGAGTAATTTCTCAAGAAAAATAAGAAGTTTGTAAAGTTTCTTATATTTGTTTCCAATTTATTTCATTAATTATAAGACTTTCCTTCTCTTGTTTCTCCTTTTACTCTAAACTCAGCTTGTCTTCCCCGACATAAGCTTCTCTTATTACAATAGTGTCTCGTCAGCCTTACTAATAAAAAATTTTCATTTAAAAAAAAAAAGAAAAAAAAGATTTTCCAAAAAAAAAAATTAAATACATTTATAGTAAAATTTTTAAAATTCACAAATGAAATTAATTAGGTGATACATATATTTTAATGTATATTAAAATAAAAAAACTAATTAAAAAATATAATATATATCAATCTCTTAACTCTACAAAATCAATCTACAATGTATCAAAATTTTCTTTTATTATAAAAATATGGCTAAAATTTGAGCAATGGCTACATTGAAAATATTAATAAATATAGGAGGCAGAATAGGAAAGCATGGACCCATTATATCCCATATTTTTGCAAGTTACTTGCACAAAGTAAAGTGTAATCTCAGTTTTTTTTTTTTTTCTGTATATATAGAAATATAGAATCATAGTTAAATCATGACCAATAATGTGCATTCATCACCTAACCAAATCCCTAATCATACTAACCAAAAATCCTCATCACATTATAAATTATTGGGTTGTAAAACATCCTTCCATTTTTGCTTTCATTTAAGCCCTACCTAACTTTCATATTAAAAATTGTTTTTTCTATGTAAAAAAGTTAAAAGAAAAAAAATTCTACTTATCATAATACTAAATCACATATAAATTTTTTAACATATAACATAGTCGTTTCATGATTAAAGTAGTCGTCTTTATATAGTAATGTGAATAATTTAAATTCAATCTATTCTTTTATTGAGTTTAATCAAATTTATGATATAGTTTATTTACGACTTTACTAATATTAGATAATTAGATTTTAAATTTTAACATTTTTAAAATTATAAAATTATAACCATTTTTGTTCAATCAAGCACTTATAAAAATTTAAATATGCTTTCGTTCAAAAAAATTAAAATATGCTTTCAATAAACATTTTATTTTTAATTATAATGATAAATAACAAAGGTTAACTTACATCAATATACAAGCTTATTATCAAAGAAAAAAAATACAAGTTTAGGCTGACGTGGAAACATAAAATAGAGTAATTTCTCATGAAAAATAAAAAAGTTTGTAAAGTTTCTTATATTTGTTTCCAATTTATTTCATTAATTATAACATTTTGCTTCTCTCATTTCTCCTTTTATGGCAGCCCTCACCTCTTTCTCCCATTTCTCCTTTTACCCCAAACTTAACTTGTCTTCCCCTGCATTACATAAAGCCTCTCTTATTATAATAGTCTTTCCTCAGTCCTACATTCTGTCACTCTTTCTTTTTGGCTTTATTATATAATGAGAAAAAGGGTCTTCCCCACAAGCCACTAATAAACCCTTTTGTTCAAAAAGCTTTCCCCTTAACGTGTTGAGTAGTTTTTCTCTTTGGGTTTTATAATACTTCACTTTTTAGGCCCCTCTCTTAAAAATGGCAGAAAATCTTGACTGTTTAGTAGAAAATCTTCTCTGTTCAGAGAACACAAGCTCTTGCTTTGATGGTGATCTTGATTTTAATGCCATAAATGAGTTTGGGGTTTCCCCTGCTTGTCATCACCACTTTAAAAACCAAATCTTTAATCAACAAGACCCTTTTTTTATAAACAACAGATCAACTTCTTTGATGGGTAGTTCTGGTTTTGCAATTCAAAGTGATGATATAATCAAAGAAATGGTTGAAAGAGAGATGAAGCATTTGCCTAGAGATGATTATCTTAAGAGACTGAGAAGTGGGGATTTGGACTTGAGTGTTAGGAGAGGGGCTCTTGAATGGATTTCGAAGGTCTGTTCTTTTTTTGATCAGTTTTATTCAGATAAAACTCTTGGTTTTTTGCTTGTTTGATCATTTGATCATTGTTTTTTCTCATCTTTACTTTGATGTTTAACTGGTTTCTGCAATAGTCTTTTCACTTTTCAACAGCATTATAGCCTTTTCTCACCAAAACTCATCACATTGTGCATTTTTTATTCTCTTTGTTTTCTTATCTAACTTTATTTTATTTCTGCAATGGGATTTTCATACTTTGTTTGGATCAATCAATTTATGAGCTATTTATAGTTTTTTGTTTTTGGTTTTAGCGTGTATTTCCTAATCAAGTTCTTCTTTTTTTTTCATTAATTAAGGCAACCTGAAACTGGAATTGGTGCTTTCTTTCTGTGTTTTCCTTTTCATTCTATCTATATTTTTTAATGCTAAATTGGACTCTGTGTTTGGCTGATCCTCAGTGATAATGTGCTATGAATGATGGTCTCGTGGTTGGTTTATGAAACGTTAAATTATCTTTGACAGAAATTTTCATTTTTGATCAACAGGCTTGTGCTTCTTACCGTTTTGGACCTCTGACTCTTTGCCTATCGATTAACTATTTGGATCGGTTCCTATCAGTTTATGAATTAGCTGTAAGTTCACAAACTAGCCTCAAATTTGGTTATTTCTTTTCTTAATTTATAATCATAGCCACTGATTGTTCTCTTTTTTGTCCTTAAAATCTCTATCTTTTGGGGTAAAATGACAGAGAGGTAAAACTTGGACAGTGCAACTGCTGGCTGTAGCTTGTTTATCAGTTGCAGCCAAAATGGAGGAGACAAAAGTTCCTCTTTCTGTAGATTTGCAGGTGATTCGAACATTTAGATTGATTTAATGTGTTTGACAATTGATGTTAATCACTTGGTCTTTCCCAATCTGAGTTTCCTGATTGTGTGGATTTGTTGTGAGCAGGTAGGACAACCAAAGTTCGTCTTTGAAGATAAAACAATACAAAGAATGGAGCTTTTAGTTTTGAGCACATTGAAGTGGGAAATGCATGTTCTTACTCCTTGCTCCTTCATTGACTACTTCCTGAGTAAAATCTGTAATGATCAATATCAATCGTCAGCTTCAATGTCTAGATCATTACAACTAATATTGAGCACAATCAGAGGTTTCTATTTCACTGTCTTATTTGTTATGTTGTTATTCTTTTTGTTTCATTTTCGTTGTTGAGGATTAATGGGGTTTGAATTGATTTAGTGTTTGTTTGGTGGGAATGAATGCAGGTATTGACTTCTTGGAGTTCAGACCTTCTGAAATTGCTGCAGCAGTGGCAATATCTGTTTCAGGAGAAATACAAACATTAGCCATTGATGAGGCTATTTCATCTTTCATCTTTGTAGAAAAGGTAAAAGAAAAAAAAATGGTGGTGCCCACAGAAGTAAAAACTCAGGAGAGGACAAATTTGCTTTTGCTGTTAGGTGTTAGAAGATCTTGGCTTTGATCCTTTTTTTTTTTTTAACTATTTTGAAGAGTCAGTGAAATGAGGATTCTTTCACTCTGTTGCTTGCGTGATTTGCAGGGTAGAGTTTTGAAGTGTGTTGAACTGATGAAAGATTTGTCATTGATTAATGGGTCTGCTACTGCTAATGCTAATGTGGCAACTCCCTCAGCTTCCTCTATGCCCCAAAGCCCCATTGGGGTGTTGGATGCTGCATGCTTGAGCTATAAAAGTGATGAAATAACAGTTGGGTTATGTGCAAATTCTTCTCATTCTAGTCCAGACATTAAAAGGAGGAAACAAGACAACAACATACCATCCCAACTGGATTTCAAGTCATGAGTTCTGAATTTCCTCCCTTTTCACACCCTTTTTAGTCCAATCAATTAGGTTGAATGGGAATTTTGGTGTGGTTTTGGAGCACTAAAAGAGAGTGAGAAATGGGAATACAAAGAGTTTCAATATGAATAAACTTCAAGGTGAAAAATGATTTCAAGTTCTTCCATGCTTAAAGCATGAAAGAAAGAAAAAGTTGTCACCAGCTGTTAACATATTATCAACAACAGCTAAAGATATCACATGCAGAAGAAGTGGAGGTGGTGTTGTTTTTAGATGGAAATGCTACAGGCTTTTTTTTTTTTTTTAATAATAGTATTTGTTGTAGTAGGCTTCCAATTATAAATGAGAGAAGAAAAAAAAATCAAGTCAGAATATATGTAGAAAGGTAAAAGAAAATCTAAGTTTTTTTAAATATATTTTTTCCATTTTAATCAAAATGGAAAATTGTAAGCAAATTAATAAATAATCTTTCTGGCAACAATTAGAGTGTAATTAACTTATGAGCATTCTTCTAATTTCTAATCCAAAGAAGTCGTTTGAAGTGTGCTGACATGAAACACCAGACGATGTCGTTTTCTACAGGGCCATAAATGGGTCTCTGATTGAGTAGTCCCCCAGAGAGAGAGACCCACAAAAACATTTGTTTTCTAGCGTGAGACCGGTCAATTTCTGAGCTTTGGTTTCGTTTTCGGTGAGTTATGTGTGTTTGAGTTTGTGTCTGAATTCTGAAATAATGATGAAAGAAAAGAAAAGAAAAGAAAAGAAAGGGTCTGAGGAGCGTAAGAAACCTTGGGAATCCACAGTGCAGAGTGGACAGAAAGAGACTGCAACTGCATGCTTGTTGTTAATTATGGGCACTTAGAATTATGGTTTTTTTTGCTGAGTTTCATGTCAACTATTTACACGTTCTATTTTTTAAGGGGTTTTTTTATTATTATTTTTAAATATTAAAATGTCCAATAATCACTTATCTCTTTTAAAACATAAATATTCATAAAATTATTATTTATTACACCTATATTGTTTGTGAGTTGTGACACCTATGAAAGTGTGAACAAATAATATATTACCCTTTTTATTAAATATTTTGCATTTATAACGTATTTTTTAAATCTGAAAAGAATAACAACCATTAGTTATGTTAAATTTGCTTTATTTCTATAGATTTGATCATTGTCAATAATATTGGTTTCACTTAAATATCTCATTCTTAATCGCAAAGTGATTATTATTTAATGATGTTCTTAGTTTATATTTATCTATATTAATCCATTAATAGGGTCACCTAATCCCCTGTAACAAAAGGAGACTTTTTGAAATGAAACAAATTTTTAGTAAAGCAATATCAATGAAATGAGAACAAAACATAAATGAAGGCATTAATGGATTAAAAAAATGCCTTTCTTTGTAAGAGGTAAGCTTTGTTTAACCATTGCACAAATCTTTATATAGTATTAATTAATCAAATGAGATACGAGAGAAAGTTTGTTCTTGTTCTTTCCTTTTTAAGTTGTTGACTGGAATATTACACAATGATGATATATATTTTTTTTCATCTCCTTACCACCCTCAAGAGAAACCTTTATGAAAATATCAAATATTCATAATATAATATGAATAAGTAGGATGATATGAAGAGCTTTTCCTTGGGATATATAAAAATTTTTATGTTTTCAGGATATGGAATCACTAAGGCTTGTCTTCATTTATATATATTCATATGCCAATCAAACAGAAAGAAACAATATCAATGCTCTCCATGTGCCTGATGGCAGGATTAAAATGGGCTGGTAGGGAAAATATGAGAGAAAAAACAAGAAGACATAATCAAGAACCCCAAAAAGTATCCACTCAGATTCTGATATACTTTTCTTGGGAAAAAAATGAATTTTCCATCCAACGAGTGCAGCCTTTTACCTTAAACTGAAGCTAAAAGTGCAGTCACCCCTTAAAAACAACAATAAAGAGTATAAAAGAGAGTGAAATAATGTAACTTTTGACTGATTAACAACAGCTACGCATGGTCAATCTGGTTTATATTAAAAATTAAACCAGTAACCCCATTTCGAATAACTGACAATGGACAATGCCATTAAGGGGATTCCGATGGGAAACAACAACAGGCATTTCTGCTAAGGGACACATTTGAAAGAGATGGGTAAGGGAATAAATACCAAACAGAAAAAGTAAAAGACAGGCAAGTGTCTTGATTAGGCTGTTGAAAACTAATGAATTTTTGTATATTAATTTGTAGTCAGCAAAAAATAATTAACATGACCTCATTCCTGATTCTGAGCCTTTGAACGCAAGATTTACAGCAGTAAATTTTCCTTTTTGCACAATTACACTCTTTCCTCTCTCTATATATATGGTTTTCTGTTTCTTTTCTTTTTCTCATCTGCATTTGTCCTTGCGGGGACCCAAAGCTACATGATGTGTGCTACAGGCTCACTGCAAAGACTGGATTGGGTTGGTAGAAGAATATCATTCATTAGAGCGTACAGTAATTTTTTTCCCTTTTTGATATGAAAGCACGGTAAAATTATCAACTTCATCGGATTCCCATATAAACTATCAAAGTTCAAACTTAAATTGTATGCTATTAAGTAGTAATTGATTAAAGAATTCAATATCTAATATCGTGTGAGCTCAAATGGGTGGTGGAAAGTTTCTATGATGTGAGTAATTGTGAATGTTAGCGTATGAGTAGTACTTGGTTTCTTTTCTTTCTGTTGCATTTGGTAAGTTGTGGGGATGTCTCTGAGGTTTGTTTTTTCCGAGAAAATGAATGTTGACGGGACAAGAAAGATGAGAAAGGGAAATGTGAGAGCAAAGAGTAATCAACCACAGACCAACACGAGACCCAAGAATGAGAGTCCAAAAAAACAACTGAAACTTTATTAAGTATAAGTGTGTGCATGGTGAAGGAAGGAGATGGCCATAGCCACAGAAGAGAAAGAAAAAGAAAGGGGTGATTGGTAAAGGGGATTGTTGAGATTTCTGCTTCAGATTATCAGCTTGCTTCCCTTTGTCATCTTCTCTTTTGCTACTGCTTTCTGTCCGTCTATTTCCCTTTTCATGAAATAAAGAAAATTGGATTCAATTTGGACCGATAGATACATGCATGCATGTCACTCTTTTCATTATTATTAAAATTTTTACTTTCATTTCAATTTAAAATCTCCAAAATATTGATTAATTAACTTCATAGCGATACCTTTTTTTTTGGGGCACATTTTAATTACTTAAATGAAATAAATATGAATCCATATGATCAACAGACATCTAGCAAAATAAAACTTTCTAAAATCAAGGAATGGTGGTTTAAAGTAGCAAGAGAGTTTGCTCCTCTCTCTTGGTTATCTCTAATACAAATTCATTGTGAGAACGTGAGAAAATAAATTTTTATGAATTTGTTTGGTTCAAAATAAATAAATTTGCTTGAATCGACTCTATATATATATATATATATATATATATATATTTAAACCTATTCAAGAAAAAATATGCTTGATGAAACCTAAAAAAATTTTATTGTTTAATAAAAAATATATAAATTCAAAAGATTTGAAATTACAGTGCATATAGGAACTGCATTTTCTTTCTCAATATGATTGCTTGTTTTATACTTATAGTTAGTAATATTTACAAACTCCCATATGAACAAGGTTCGATACCATATATCTTTGTTTTTTGCAACTATATAGAGGAAAATTTCCATGTTTAAAAATTACAATAGACTCCAACCTAAAAGGGAGCAATCCATTGTATTATTATTCCACCGAAAGAGAATCTGATGAATGTGTTTGACCCGTCAGAATCAGAAAACCATAGACATTGGCAATGCCTAAAATGGGTACCATCATATCTGTTTAAAATTAAATTCATCTGTCTATTTCCCAAGAATAAGCAAAAAATATGCTCTGTTGAAAGGAGTGATTAACAGAGTAGATTTATAAATCCATTGTTTGTCCAAAGCTTATTAATGTTCTGATATCAATAAATTACAACTGCATTTGTTTGTTTCACAAGAAACAATTCCCTGTTTGACTGCATTCTCATTTTCATGAACACCCAAAAATGATTCCTACAGACAAAAAGATACGGTGATTCCCCCTGATATTTTTATTATGGATGTTCATGGGAACCCATGCAAGGATACTATACATTTTGATTTTCTTAAAAAATTCTTTGCCAGCCTATAATGAGCAACCCAAAAGGAAATTTTCTAAAAGCTAGCTCACTGTCCTTATATGCAAAGAGGCCGTGGTCTGAGCAATGAGATTTGAATGTCAAACATATTGAAACTGCACGAAGGAACAGAACAATTCTTCACTCTTTTGATTAAACTAACCTCTTATAATTAGACAAAGTCGGTCTGGCCTGTAGAAGTCAAGCATTGATGCCAGATGCGGCTTTTAGGGTCTACTTCCCTGGGATGAGAAATGACCTCAGGAATAGGAAAGTAAACGTAGTGAGTGTTGCATATGCCCATTGTATGCCGCTATATATTTTCAGCAAATGCACCATGAACCTGCAAATGGAGGCATCCATCATACTTTACATTTCCGGAGATTAGTTCTAAACATAAAATGTGTCTTATATAGAGCCCTGCAATATAAGGGGAAACTTCCACAACCCGGCAAATGCAAAGTCATGGCTCCATCGGGCCGAGAAACAGGTTTAAATATTAATACTTCTCTCATTATATGGGATCCATCTAGAGGAAAATTTTTAAGTAAAATTTGTGAAATTTTATATTAAAAGTAATTAAATAAAAATTAAAATTAAAAATATGATTTATAGATTAAAAGATTTTATTACATAGATCAAGTTATAAATTTTGAATAAATTTTAATAATTTTGATATATTTCTTAGTTAGATAATTTTAATAAAAATTTTAATAGAATTTTTATTGTTGAATTAGTATCTATCAAATTTTAATTATAAACGATATTTTTAATATATATATTTATATTATTGATCTCCACATTAAATTTTATCAATCTATTAATTTAGATTTTTTATTAACATTTTTTAAATTATTTTAAAAAAACTTTATCGAAAATATTTCATCTAAGTTTTGTTCCTTATTATATAACATCAAAATCCATACATTTTCGTAAGTAAAAAAAAAAAAAACGTTTTCAATAACTCATGTGTTTAATTTTTTTATTTGAGGTTATTAAAAATTAAATTTAAATTATTAAAATTAAGAATATAACACTCTACTAATAAATCACGTAATTATTAGTCATATGTTTAAATCTTCATGTTCCCTCAAGTAATTACT